TATTTGGACTGCTCAGGACACAGGAGAATAGCCCGTCTTGTGGCGAATACTTCTTTGTGTTAGTCAGATCCGAGCTCAGATGGGTTTATCAGTCTCGCGTACGACCGTTTGGCACTCTATCCGCTCTGATGAGTATATCACACGATAGACGATGAAGGGGCTACTCGACTCTGTGCTAGCCACAAGCTGACAAGGCTGGAGTTTGCTCGTAGGAAAATGGCATGAAAAAGAGCGGCCCAGTTGCCGTTCCAAAAGTATTGCACACTCAAAATTTTCATTTCAAAGATATCTAAAAAACCTACCGTAACGAAAAACTCTTCTCAAACGATTCCTCGTAGTCGATCACCTTAACAGAAGCTTAGGGGGCCCCGTTGATTTATGATCTCAGTTATATTTTTTTGCTAAGTGCGCACATACTTTTGAAACAAAGGAAAAATTTTTTTTAATAAAAAATCATGTTAGCAGCTAGCAGCCGATGTTTTCTCAGAAAAAGTGTCCGTAGGTTATCGCACACAAGGAATTGAATGGTGAAGGTTACAGAAAGCAATGGTATTCCCAAAGCAACAAATGTTGGGTGTGCACATACATTTGAAACGCACTGTAGCAAACGTTGACGAGAGCTTTCGGACCGCACAAACCGGCATCTGGTGGCAAAGGCGGAACATGTGTCAGGGAAACCGGTTGCCTCTCCTTTGGTAGGCAGATATTTTCTCGAACGCATCCTTGCCCTTAGTCCAGAACGCAGTCCAGAACGCCGCCTCAATCGAATATGTAAAATAATCATATGTGTCAACCAGTTCCTCAATCGTCTCATGTAGACGCAGGATGCATACCGTCTGCAAGCTCTCCTCAACCCAACGGCCAGCCATTAATTGGACATCGTCCAGCGTCTTCTTGTCCATTATGTTATACAACGCCTAAAACCAACATTATACTATAGAATGCTTGCGTCTGAATTTCTGCATGCGTGTCTGTATCTGTCTGTCACGAAGTTCAGTACCTCCCGAAGAAGCGTCTGGAGAGTTAGGAACTTACAAAGTAAGGTATACATACATCCTTCATTTCGGCGCGGAAAAACACTTGATGCATTTTTCATCAACGCCGAAACGTAAGTTGATAAGAACTTATTTACCGTCTTGGCAGCAGGTTTTACTAAATCTTATAAAACATCAAGGAAATTTCCATCGGCAATTTGGGCCTTCTACACCCTGACACTATTCGTCAGAGTTCGTTCTTCAAAGTGACAACCCGATGGAAAAGTCCTTTCGTGGTGGAAGAGATTAATTGCCCTAACGTTACGATCTTGTAGGTCGTCAAAGGGACAAGTTTTCCACCTAGAAAGTCTTGAAGTCTCAGAAAGTATTCCGCGACTTCCAAGTCGGCTAATGCTTCTGCACCTAGAATACCAATTCAGTCAATGGCCCAACCAGACGAGAAAAAGCATCAAACAGTGTAGGTATTCGTGTCAAGGTCTATACATGTGCCATACTCGGGCTAGTATCGCTACTGTTATAGACTCTGACTACAGCACTTATTTTTAGTTTGGTTTTTGTAAGTTTCATTATACTGTCTCATTTCGCTGTAATTTCTACCATATTCAAGATAAAAAAAACTGTCGGACTAGTAGGATTAGCTTCGTTGTATTATGAGATCAACGGCAATTATCACAGTGTATAATGCATCCTTATAGGATAATTCGTAGATTAGCCGCTGATCAGTGTATCCGTTTCGCACGCATCCAACACAGTACCATGATATTTACTTAAATCACACTCATCTTATTTTTTAGCTCAAGGTTAAGCTATTTTACGAAGGTGTGGGGAGCCCTTTTATGTTGTTCGTTATTTCCTACATCGCTCTTCGATTTCGTAAAGTGCTTGAGAGATTCTCCGAAGCTCGACGACAGGCTTAGTGTAAAGGAAGTAGTTGTAGCATCCTCGCTACCCGATGGCGGCCTTGCCGATGCTGCCCGTCATTCGCGCCGCGCCGTGTTACACAGGACCACCGTAAAACGAGCTGCCACCGGTCCGTCTCACTCATCTCGTTCGTCTAGCTATGTGTAAAGCCCATCCCAAAGGCTAAAGCCGACGGTGTTAGTCTCCCCTTAAATCCCTTCCTATAGTGTAATCTCTCAATGTATAAAGCGGTAACTGTGTGTGTCTCTTTGTATGTCCGTTTGTGCGTACTTCCGAAAGTCACGTAGGCGCGATGAAGAGTGTGAATGCCACGTGAGCGCGATGAGGAAACAGGTATGAAATGAGACGTCAACCGATGGGATGCTTGCATAGTCCACAATTTGGAGAGCGAGCGATCGCGGATCTATCGAGCAAGCGACCGAGCGACCAGTCACGGGATCGGTCACTCGCCAAATCGTGGACTGTTAAAGCAGCCATACTGTTTATACTGGTCCTCTAACAAGTCGTAGGTACGGGGTAGAGGCGTGTGGTGCATGCGTTAGCGTGCGAGGCCCAACTGATTTAATGAATAAGTTATAAAGTACGTTATTCGTATCTTCCATCCCCATACGCGTGCACTAACAGTTATAGGTCGGATTACCCTTTAATTTCATAAATTATTAGTTATTAGTCAGACAGAAGTTATTTTTAGCTCAAATTGAGATTGACCCAAAGGTCAAGTTTGAAGCAAATACAGTGTTCTAAGTACGTTATCTAAGCAACCCTTGAAAACTCTGAGAGGTGCCATGTGTTGCTTCGTCCAACCCATTTCCATTCAATACTTCAGGGTGTAATATTAAGCTGTCGCCGGCCATGTCAGTGAACAACTGCTGGGTATCAAATTCACCACTGGGCGGATCTCTTGCTGCATAGAGCAGCTTAACATACGGTGACTTTCCTCTGTTCCACTCATTCGTTTCTAAAGCTTTTTCTTTTTCGTAACTGCTCTCTAGATCTCCTCCTTGTTCAGAAAATAGTGTGTTTCATTTGCTCACTGGTAGCTGTCACTGAGATAATTGATGGGAGGGTAGCTAATTGATGATTTACTTTGCGGTACCGGAAATATCTATCGAAACTGATGTTGTCCACGATTTGTAGATTCGAATAGCGGCTCATCTTAACTGCGCTTATTTTCAGGAACAACATTTCAATAGAATGTACATATATCAATAGAATATTGTAGGATGAAGCGTGTTGCGTGACAGCCACAATTGGATTGCATGGCAGTTGCAGTTATCCAATGTTCGCATGTTCATCTGAAACTCTTTCTGCTGAAAACTGCAATGTTAGCAACGCTTCTAGATAACCAAGCTGACTGCCTGAATTGTAAAGTGCGTTGGATGCGCTCGACGGCTATCGTTTGCTCTGCGGGCAATGACCACTACGCGGCCTGAACGCAGCAGCCGCTCTGTTAAGAGGTAGCTATCGAAGTTGCCACGGGGTTCAATCGGTTCCTACATTATTGTTTAAATCGTGGAACGCTTTTCATTGCTATCACGTCGTTCAAGTTTACTAAGCAGTTCTCTGATTGTTATTTTGTGACCGTTGTATCACTGAGGGCTAGAACGCAGAAAAGGAGGGGTAGTCATCCTGGTGAAAATGTTTGGGGGGGGGGGGGGGGGGGGGGGGCC